TACAAACTTGTCTGGCAAATATGTGGGTAGAGCAACAACTCACACATTTGGAAACGAGACAGGTGGAGGGCATGCTGGTGACAAGAGGACACAGGGATATGTGTGAGCTCCTGGTTCCTTCTTTTGGAGTAAAAAAATCAGTATTTTCACATTTTATGATTGAGGCAGTTCGTGCAAGGAGTCCACAATAATTACCTGAACATTCATAGCCACTGCTGTATTGCAAACACAATATAATTAAGTCTGACTGAGGAGAAAGCACTTGAGGGGAAAAAAAAAAAAAGTCTTGTCACTGGGAATTTCCTGCTTTTTAGCTCCTTGATCCCCTAATCTGCATCAGAGGTTTGGTTCTTATTTGATTTGGGTTTTGTTTTGCTTTGAATTAGCAAGAGGATGGGGAATAAACCCCAAAGCTCAGATCCCACTGCCCTTGGCATGGATATTAAAGCTGCTGTCTCCCTGCCCTCCATAGCTGGGGGTGTTGGTTATCCAGGCAGGGTTCCTGGACCATAAAGTAGCAGGATAGCTCCTGACCATCAGGAAAAAAATTAGGTTGTGGGGTTTTTTCCCTAAGGGAAATGTAGATTTTTCAGCAGGCTCTGGGCTGCACTCGCTTCTCTCAGGCAAACAGAAAAATAAGGCTGGTTGTGTGTCACCACAGTGCAGCAGCCCTGGAGAGCTCCAGGTCACTCCATGAGGCTGGGAATCCCCAGGGATGCATCTCTGAGGGCGGGTTTTGCTCACTCTGCCCTTCTCTGCCCTCTCTGCAGGCGTCCAGCACACGGCCAGAGTGCAGCATCATGCAGGAGATCGAGGAGGAGCGCAGCCAGTGCCTGGCAGAGCTGACTAGGGATAACCAGACCGCAGGTATGGCAACATGGGAAAGCTCTCTCCTCTCCCTGGCCAGCAAGCCAACATCCCCCCAGCCTCACATCTGCCTTCCCCAGGCCATTTCTCAGCCCTGCAGTCGCTCCAGGTGATCCTGAGCTCTTTAGGAGGGAGAGAAATTGGTGCTTCCAATGCACGGTTCAATCAGCCGAGAGTTGGAATCACTCCCCAGGGTTCCCTCCCTGCCTCCCAGCTGGGCAAGCCTAACTTAGGTGTGTTTAATCACAGTCATCCCTCTCTCTGAACTGGAAGCTCCTTAACCAGTTTTTCCCCTGGGATCTGAAAGCCTGAAGTTCCCAGGTTCAAGGGAAGCCACAAGCCACCTCCTCCTTCCATTAAATGCCCTCCCATCCCCATGCCGAGGTTGCTCCTGTCCTGGTGGAGAAGCAGAGGAAGGAAGGGGGTGTTCCAAGGCTGCTGGAGTTGGGGCAGGCAGCTGAGGTCCTCTCCTTGTTCGTGGAGCACACCCCACAGCGGGCAGTCCTCCTGGAAGGCTCTCCCTGTCTCCTCAATCCACCCCCTGCTTCAGCGACCGGGAAAGGAGGAAGGAACTTTGCCCAAGTTAAGGCATCCAGTTGGATCTCTCCCTCCCCAAGTGCCTCTCTCAAGTCTCCAGTCTTGTTTCTGTAAGGAAAAGGGGTGTAGGGACCAAGGCTGGGCTGTCAGGATGCCAAAAGAAGGGATCACAGTGCTGGTGGAGAAAGGGTGGGAAGATGAATATCCTGCTTGGTATTTACATCCCCCCTCCTGCAAGAGGAAAAAGGGGAAGAAAACGTGTCCCCATCCTCTCTCCCTGGGCATTGCTTACAGCCAGGCCACAGACTGAAGGACTGTTCCACGCTGCCTAATGATGGAATAACATCCTGGGACAAGCTGATCCCAGGAGGAGCTTTACTGGATGCGAGGAAGGGCTTTTTGGCCCCTGCTTTTATCTGCTAAGAGACGGTTTGGCTTTGATTTGGGAGCTGTTTCAAGTGTCCCTGTGCAGTTAAATGGAGCTGTTTGAAGAAATGTTCTCCTGGAATCCAGTAAAGGGAAAAAAGTCAGGGCAGTTCAAAACATTCATCTGAAAGCCAGCAAAATACTTCATTTCGTTTTCGTGGGTATTTCAAGACGCTCAATTACACACAGCACATTAAAAGCAGAAAAATAAAATACTTGAAGTGATAATATTTTTTTCTGCTTTGTCAAAGTGATTTTTTCTCGTTAGAAACTTTAATCCATAACAGCTTCTTTTTTTTTTTTTTTTTTTTTTTTTTTTTTTTTTTTTTTTTTTTTTTTTTTTTTTTTTTTTTCCCTCTCTAACCACCAAATTAAAGGGCTGAAAACATTTTTCCCAGTTCTGAAGTAGAGACAGGCAAAAAACCCCTTGGGGGAAATGGGGGTGGGTTCACAATGGAACACTGAAATACTGGACTGGGAGAAGTCTTCATTTCCACCTGTCACTGTTCATAAACAGTGGTGCAGAAATTGCAGTTGTGAGCACTGTAAACAGTTTTTTGTCCATGGATTGGGTTCATGCCAGATGTTTGTGCACATCAGCATGCCCTGAAGTGGTCAGTGGTGACACTGGTGTACAACAAGGATGTGCAGGGACACGGCCAAATTTTACAGTGCAGACTCTGTGGAAAGCAGTTGGAATCCATTTACCTCAAAACATCAACAGATATGTAAAAGCTGGCTTTAATCTACACACTCATGGCTTGCCCTGGAGTGAACAGAAAGAAACCAGAATCTCCCAAGTGTTGGCCCCAAAAAAACGGGTGACTCTGGGTGGATCAGTTTATGGAGAAGTCTGTTTAGAAAGTGGGCAGATGATTTCAAAGTGCCTACATGGGATGTGTTTTCCCTGTGGATTGTTTAAGGCAAAAGCAGATCAAAAAAAGATGTTTTTTTTTTTCTGGAGTGGGGCTCCATAACTCAATAGAGCTGAGCAAAATAAAACTTTGAGAGCTGTGGGTGAGGGGGAAATTTGTTGGGGAGAAATCTCCTGAAGGTGCTGATAGGAGATGGTATGAAGGTGATGACTGTCTCATCTGAGTGTTGCTGGAAAGAAAGAACCCCAGTAAAACTCACAGGAAAAATGTGATCTTAACACAGCTCCATCCCCCAGAACAGGAGGATGGAAAGCAGTTGAGATTCCCTGTGATCTGCAGTGCAACACCTTGATTTATGGCCAGGAGGTGTGTTGCCTTCTGCACATTCCCCATCCTTTTGAGCAGAAAGAAAATCACTCGAGGTTTTTAACAGCCAATTTGTTATCCTTGCTAATTAAATGAGTGGAAATAAGGAAACGCTGTTTGGGTACATTGCGGGCACGAAGCTTTGTTTAGAAGCCATTATTGATTGTATTGATCAGAGGGGCTTAATCACAGCTGTAATTTGATGTGTCAGAGAGATTAGTCACTCATTAAGAACACTTGATGGTGGTGCTGAGGGTGATCACTGGCTCGGCATAAGCAGGATTTCCACTGATAAACAATAACATCTGTCTTAGAGGTGTTTTGTCTTCCAACAGCCATTCCTGGTGTTTATTCCTTATGGAATGGGAGAGTTGGGATTGTTCAGCCTGGAGCAGAGAAGGCTTTGGAAAGGGTGACCTAATTGTGACCTGAAAGGAACCTACAGGAAAGTTGTAAAGAGACCA